GGGCACAAAAAGGTGAGATCTGGGGAAGACGAAAGCAAAGACTGGAAGATTCTAGAGAAGAAAGAGAAAGGAGAACAGATCTGGGTTTTGATCAAACCAAGATCTAGCGAGGAAGAAGAACAGAAAAGAGAGGAGAGAAAGAATAAGAAAAGTTAAAAAATTGTTACATGGGCCCCATTAAAAGGAAAAGTTAAAAAGGTGATAATATGATGTGTAAAAAATATGCCACGTGTATAAAAAATTTTCTTTGTTGGATTTACACGTAATTAAAATTTAAAAAAGTCAATGATTTTGTGGCATCTTAACGTGCCACCTGGCATTTAACTGACGGAAGGATCATTTTGGTACCAAAAATGAAAGTTCAAGGATAATTTTGGTACTTTTTAAAGTTGAGGGATAATTTTGGTGCCAAAGTGATAAGTTGAGGGACTAAAATGGTACTTAAACCATGTTCAACAAGGGAAACTTAGCCTTAGAATACATGATGAGGAGATTGTTTTTAATGTGTTTGATGCTATGAAAAATTGTGATCATGATGGCAGTGCTGTTTTAAGGATTGATGTGGTAGACAATGTAGTGGCTGAAAATTTTAATGCTTCTAAATTAGATGATCCTATTGATAATTGCATTGTTAATGCTTTGGATGTGAAAGCTGATAGTGCAGACAATAACATTTTGGAAGCAGCAGGTATTCTTGGGGAAAAATGCCATAGGCAGCCACAAAAAGGAGGGCATTTTCTGCCCTTAGATGCATCGTTCACTGTGACAGTCAAGTCATCCAAAGAGGAGCTCCCTACTCTTGAATTAAAACCTCTTCCTTCTCAATTAAAGTATGTTTATTTGGGTGATTCAAATACCTTACCTGTTATAATTTCTGCTTCTTTGACAAGAATAGAGAAGGAGAAACTTTTAAGGGTGTTGTGAGAACACAAAGGAGCTATAGGATGGAGTATAGCGGATATCAAAGGAGTTAGCCCTTCGGTTTGCATGCATAAAATCTTGCTGGATAAGGGGCACAAGTCGATTGTTCAGCCTCAAAGACGCCTTAATCCTAACATGCAAGAGATGGTCAAAAAGGAGGTAATTAAATGGTTGGATGCATGTATTATTTTTCCTACGTCTGATAGTACTTGAGTGAGTCCTGTGCAAGTAGTGCCTAAAAAGGGGGGACAAGACTATGGAAATTCACAAGCTAGAAGTCTCCTCTAAATGAAGACAACTCAATTTCAAAACTTCAATTTTAAGTCTTCAAATGCAAAACCTGGGAAGTTTTTCTTTTCTCTTACTTTTATTTTACATTGAGGACAATGTTTGATTTAAGTTTGGGGGAGAAAATAACTTTTAGGCATACATTATTATGTTAGTTTGCATTCATATTTGCATAACATACATCTTTTTTTTTCTTTTTTAGAAATTAGGGTTTTTTTTGGAGTTGGTCCAATTAGTGTCAAGGAATTGAATATTCTTGAGTTGAAAATTTTAAAACTTTTAAAATCTTTAATTCTTAGAGGAGATACAAAATCTGAAAAATAGTACCATTGTGATGAAGTTAAGTTCATGAGTATTCTATTCTACTTGAGCACAAGTTTGTAGTGAGAAGTTTAGAGAGAAGACTTAGTAGCACCTAAATAGCACATAAAAAAGAAGAAGAAGAAGAAGAAGCCAATACAAAAGAGTTTATTAATTTCTACTCCAATGTTTTTAGTTGCTTAGTAATTGGGGGTTAGGCATGAAACCCATGTCAACTTTCACGTCAAACGAGTTTATTAATTTCTACTCCAATGTTTTTAGTTGCTTAGTAATTGGGGGTTAGGCATGAAACCCATGTCAACTTTCACGTCAAACGGTGACTTGAAATATGAGTATATAAAGCACTTTGAGTTTGTGACTTGTTGAGTAACCGGGTCCTTTCATCACCAATGTCAATATTCGCATCAAAAGACAAGTGATGGCTTAAGGAAGAATATGTTGTTTGGCTAAAAAAAAAAAAAAAGAAAGATGGAGAAAATAATAATAAAAATAATAATAAGTGCTTCTCACTATGAATTGCTACACACACACTAAGTGCTCATGAGATAAATCTTTTAACAAGTGGTGTGAAGAATAGGATGAGTGTTTGACTTTAAGTGAGTATATGAAAACTCTTGAATATTTGAGACTTTGTATCTAATTGAACTTTAATTCCTAAATTTTCTTTGCATGCATGTCATGTAGTTACATTCTTGCATTGGGATTTTGTGAGTAGATCCACTGCAAACCCTCACGAGACACAACTCGTCCACTAGGGTGACCTAGAGGTTTAAATACTTGTTGCACATGCTAAGTGCAATCGTGATTCCTACGAAAGTGAGTTAGATTTTATTTTCTTTTTAGTTATTTGTTTTTTTATATTTTACTCGAGGACAAGCAAAACTTAAGTTTGGGGGAATTTGATGAGTTGAATTTGTATACATATTAATGTGGAATTGTTGCCTTGATATTATTGATATTTGGATGAGTTTTATGAGATTTTACTGAGTTTTATGAGATTTTACTAAGTTTTATGAGATTTTACATAATTTTCATTCTTTGTGCAGAAAAGGACTTGAATGCATAAAAGAAGAGTTTTTGAGATTAATTGAACATCTTTTGAAAGTTGAGGGACTGAATTGCAAGAAGAAGGGTGCTTCTTTGGGACCTTAATGAATGACTCTTGAGTTTTGAGATCTAAGTACTCATTGTACAAAAGCTAGAGGACAAATCTGCCATTTTACCATTGAAGAAATTGCAAAAGGAGTCCAAAAACTCGACACGAGTGTAGTGTCGATACATAATCTGGGTGTCGACACCATGCGTTAATAGTCAAAAATCAAACTTTCTGTTTGCTATTTTGTGTCGACACGTAATTAGGGGTGTCAGTACCGTGCGTTCAGCATCCAAAATTCAAGTTTTTTTATTTCTGCTCCAAGTCCTACTTCTATTCCAATTAGGGTTTCTAAAATCCTATAAATACCTATCCAAATTCAGAATAAGGGAGCTGGGTGGAGGCTGGTGGCAGCCCTCTTTTGGGCATTGTTGAAAATCAAGAGAAATGATTCAACAATAGAAGATTAAGAAGTTCGATTTCCTCAAATTGGGTTTTGTTTTTTCTTGGATTTTTATCTATTGTTTGATATTTGAATGTTCATAACTATAATTTCAGATTTTATTATTTTTTATTATGAACTGATTTATTTTACTAGGGTTACGATGTAATCTAATCAATTCAATATAGATTTTGTGATTTTATGTTTTCAATTAAAGTTATTTGCATGAGAAGTTTATATTATTGAACTTAATGCATTGAAAGCCTGATCACCTTTCGATTGATTTAGTGATTTATGCATGAACTTGAGAAAGAATTGCATAGATTAGACCAATAATAATATAAACCATGTGCTAGACTATGAGATCAAGAGGTAATTAGCTCACATGTGGTAGTGGAGGAAGAGAAGAGAGTTAGGAGCTTCCCCTTCTTAAGCTAGAGGTTTCCATAGAATTTAATGCTCATTAGTTTGTTTAAAATTACATAGAGATATGATTAATTTAACAAACCAGTGAAGAATTAACTTGACTTGAGAAAGCTAGTTAATTAATCTAAGGAAATCTATCATCACATGCAATAACATTCAACAATTTGATAATCCAAAATTTATATTAATTGATTATGGTGAAGTCAATGCCTTAGTACCTTATATCTTGATTAGCGTGATTTTAATTGTTAATTTCTTTTTATTATTTTTAATTAAAGTTTCTTCCTTTTTTATTGTTCAAATAAATTTAGATTAATTATTTTGGTACTTAGTTAGACACAATCTTCGTGGGTTTGACACTCTCTCATCATTATATTACTTGAGACGATTAGTACACTTACTAGGGTGATTTTAGTGCATCAAGTTTTTGGATTGATGCACCAAATACACACTACTTTTAGGCAAGTGAACCTAATCGATTATGCAATATAAGATGAGTAAGATATCGTTCCCTTAAGGACTATCCTACACTACCAAGACACTATTAATCTAACCTAAGTTGAATTAATCAATTAATGGGAAAAACTAAACTATTTAAAAGAAAACTAAGTAAACTAAGGAAATTAAACTAAAGAATTTTCTAAATTAAAAAAACTATGAATGAGAAGGAACTAGGGTTTGGATTTCATTTAATTTTGTATTATGCAACTGTTTTATTAATTTAATTCAAGTTCAAATAATAATGTTATCGCATGAGATGGTGGATTTCCCTAAATTAATTAATCAGCTTTCTCAAGTCAAGCTAATCCATCATTTGTTTGCTAAATTAATTATATCTCTATGTAATTTTAAACAAACTAATGAGCATTAAATTCTATGAAAACCTCTAGCTTAAGACGAGAGAACTCTTAACTCTCTTCTCTTTCTTCACTACCACATGTGAGCTAATTACCTCTCGGTTTCATAGTCTAACACATGGTTTATATTATTATTGGTCTAATTTTCACAATTCTTTCTCAAGTTCATGCATAAATCACTAAATCAATTGAAAGGTGATCAAGCTCTCAATGCATTAAGTTTAATAATATAAGCTCATCATGTAAATAACCAATAAATTTTGAATTAAACTAACAAAAACAGTCACATACTTCAAAAATTAAAATCCACTCATCCCTAGTTCAAAGAAATCTAGCCACACATATGTTTATGTTCTCAACAGCCATGAAAAATAAATCCCAGTAGAAAATCATAGTAAAAAAAATCAGAAACAACAAAACCCAAACAATGGAGAATTGCAGTTTGCCGAATGGTGTGCTGTTGTCCGGAAGCAAGGCTGGCGGAGAAGAAGCAAGACTGGTTGGTGTTGAACAGAGGCTGGGCGGCTTCTTTTCTTCCTCCAATGTGCAGAGCAATTTCACGTGGCTGTGGGGCTTCCTCCCAATTATGCTGGGTGGCAGCTTTTCCTCCAATGTGCAGAGAAATCTTGCGCAGCTGTCCTCTTCTCAATTCTGCCGACTAGCATATATATATATATATATATATTAAGAAATTAGAAACCCTTCTTTCTTTTAACCCTAGCAGACATGGGTTATGGGCTTTATTTTGGGTCGGACTGCAGTTGGCCCACACCTAGAAAACACAGCCCAAGTCTCTTTATTTCTGCACTTTGTCTATTGTCAAAACCGTCCACTTCAACTTAAATTCTGTATTGATATAGAAGGAATTGGGTTGAGCTCATAAAACATCAATTGTAGCTCTGCTTCTTAGCTTTCCAACGCCTGAAGAATCAACTCAATCCGATACCTAAAGAAAAAGATATGGTTAAATCACTGCAGTATGTGCAAATTGTCACTTATTGCAAAATTAATTCATATCTTAATTTCCACCTACAAATAATGAATTTAGTATAAACAAAGGTGAAACTAAGTTACAAGGGACCCATAAAATTTAATTCTAGGCTCAAAAAGGGTAGATAAATGCATATAAAAATTAAACTCATCAAATACGCCCAAACTTAAATTCTTGCTTGTCCTCAAGCAAAAGAAAGCTAAAAAAAACAGAGCTCATGTACATTCTTCCCCACACAAATAACACAAGGAGCATCAACATTCAACTCGATTTTTAGTTCAAATTTCAGTAATACCAAGCAAGGGAGTTGATGACAATCACCTTCATATTCATGAATATCTTTAAATAAATCCATGCCAAATTGTAGTAAGCATCACTGAAACATGTAATAACCATACCATGTAATTACCCCTTCTTGTCTTTTTTTTTTTCTTTGCTTTTTTTTTTCAGCCATACATCACAATCTTCCTTGAGCTATCACTTATCTTTTGATGCGAATACTAACATTTGTGATAAAAGCACCCAATTACTCAATAAGTCACAAATTCAAAGTGCTTTGCATACTCATATTTCAAGTTACCGTTTGATGTGAAAGTTGACATGGGTCTCATGCCTAACCCCCAGTTACTAAGCACTTAGAAACATTGGAGTAGAAATGATCAAACTCTTTTGTGTGTTGGCTTATCCCTTTTTTTTTTTCTTGTCAAGTTTCCTTAGGCTTTCTAAGTTACTCATGTAACAAGCTTTTTGTTAATGACTCCCAAACCAATTGGCTTTAGGGCATTAGGTGAAGAGACACCCCTAAGAACATACTTACTCAAGTAACAAAGGCCACGAAACATTCGACTTCTCTTTCTTTTATATTTTTTTTCCAAAGCAGTTTTAAGGGATAATTAGACAGGATAGTCATCACAGAAACAATGGCACCTACTCATAATATGCATATAATTTCCAACCAAACCACTATAAAATCAACTCTCTCAACTCCTCTCATCAAGGTATTACTAAATTTTTGAGCTAATAATCAAAGAAGAACAGTATCCTTCGCTTGCAATATCTATGCAACAAAATATGTATAGGCTCGTTTGACTATATTCACTCCATGCTAAAAAATTAGATTCACATGCATATATCCAATACTCTAAATCTTCAAACCACAACAAAAGCAAGAACACAAAAATATCCTCCCCCAAACTTAAAATTAACATTGTCCTCAATGTAAAATAGAAGTAAGAGAAAAGAAAAACTTCCCAGGTTTTGCATTTGAAGACTTAAAATTGAAGTTTTGAAGTTGAGTTGTCTTCATTTAGAGGAGACTTCTAGCTTGTGAATTTCCATAGTCTTATCCCCCCTTTTTAGGCACTACTTGCACAGGACTCACCCAAGTACTATCAGAGATAGGAAAAATAATACCTGCATCCAACCATTTCATTACCTCCTTTTTTACCACCTCTTGCATGTTAGGATTAAGGTGTCTTTGAGGCTGAACAATCGGCTTGTGCCCCTCATCTAGCAAGATTTTATGCATGCAAACCGAAGGGCTAACTCCTTTGATATCCACTATGCTCCATCCTATAGCTCCTTTGTGTTCTTGCAACACCCTTAAGAGTTTCTCCTTTGTCTATTACCACGATAACCAGAAGAAAAGGATGAATGTCCCTATGACTGATTTCCTTGAAAACGTCCTCCACGTCCTCGAAAATTATGGTTACCTATAAACTGGGCACGAGAAGTACCAGAACAATCTCTCTGTTGTTGTTGAACAGTAGATAAAAGCAAGACTTGTGGAGAAGAAAAAGACTCAGTAGCATGATTTTGACTGTTTTCATGTTGTAAATTGGCTTCTTCAATCAAGAGAAGTGATCGGAGTTGTAGAAAAGATGGGAAAGGCACTCTTTGTGGAATACTGCATTTAGAAACACTATAAGATGAATCCAAGCCAGCCAAAACACGAAGCACCAAATCACGATCAGAAACAGGATCATTAATAGAATATAGTTGATCTGCTATTTTCTTAGCATGTTGAAGGTATTCTATCATAGATTGATTGGGTTCCTTCCTCAGAGCAGCATATTCCTGACTATATAAGATGGCATTGGCCTCAAGTTGATCATGATATGCTAACTCAATTGCATCCCAAGCCTGTTTAGCTGTGAAAGATCTACCCGGTTGAATTATGAATTGTAAAAATCTCAGATGAAATTGTTGCTTGAATCTAAGTGAGAATCTGATAATCAATTTGTTGCCATTGCTCAAAGTTCGGATCTATTATTGGAGGGAAAGGATCAAATCCATCTAGATGACCAAAAATCCCTTTGCTGTGTATAAATGGATTCATCAACTCCTTCCACAAAATATAATTGTGATGATGAGAACTTCAGAAACAAAATTTCTAATATTGGAAATCGAAAACACAGGATGAGAATATATAAAGGAAAAAGATGTGGCAGCCATGGTACTGGTAAGAAGCATTGGTGTTAAGGTTGAGACTGACGAGAGAGAGGTTTGAGTGATTATAACAGGTGAAATTGGAGAGATATCAGAAGAAGAAGACATGCTCATACACAAGGAAAGCAAAACAACGGAAGACAAGGAAAAAAACCCTAGACGTGACTCTAAGAAAACGAAAACAATTTTGGTGCCCTAATTATTGCTTTGATCCCATAAAGAATGGGAAACTCTAATATTTTTCTCATTAAGAATTGTCTATATATACAATACAATGAGACATTGAGCCTGAGCCATACAAACACGATGGGCCATATACAATGCTATATTTATAATATTCTATCAATTTATATAATTATAGTGTTAAAATAAATATTAACTTTTATAATTTTTATATAAATTAATTTTAAAATAATATATTTATTATTACCTTAACATGTACATTAAATAAACCCATTAAAAAAATAAGTAAATAAGTTACTAAACAATGCAATTAAAACAAATTAGATATTAAAAAAAATATAATAATTATATCCTTATTTTATACGTGCAAAATTAAAAAAAAAAAAAATAAACCCTTAAAAATGAATATATCATTTTAATTGAATTTTTTTAACATGTACCTTAAGGATATAGGTTAAAAGTGTATTAAATACGCCTTTTTATATCATGTGAATTTAATTAGATAATTAATAAATTAAAGATTGATTTTTATTTTTTCAATATAAGGGCCTGTTTGGTATATCGGTTAAAATTTAGCGGATAGCAGGTAGCGAATAGCGCAGGTAGCGGTAGCGATAGCGGATAACAGTAGCGGTAGCGATAGCGGATAGCGGGTGGTGGTTAGCGGATAACAGATGGTGGATAACGGAAAGTGGGTAGCGGATGGTAAATAACAGATTCGATAAATATAACTGTTTAGCTATACAATGGTTAGCGGTTGTTATTTAACATTAAATGACTAATAAGGACATGTTTAAAAACAAATATGTATATTTTTTAAA